TTTTTTTTTTTGCAAATTTTTTTTTTTTTTTTTTTTTTGAGAATGTTTAGTAAAAAAAGAAAAAAAAATTGGGAAGTATAATATTATTTTATTGGAGGATGTGTGATTGTTAAAAAGAGAGAGAGCAAAATGAATTATAATTTTAATGGAGATCAAACGGAAGCTTTTTTTGAGGATGTTTAGTAAAAAAAAAAAAAATTGGGAAGTATAATATTATTTTATTGGAGGATGTGTGATTGTTAAAAAGAGAAAGCAAAATGAATTATAATTTTAATGGGGATCAAACAGAGGCTAAATGTATAATTTGCGATTAAATATATGATTATGATATAGAAATTGTTTCTTATGTGACTGACATCTAGTGTGATTTGTGACAGTGACCTATAAATTGTGTATTATTGTAATCGTGTTCTATTTAATTAAATTATAGGTCACAATATTTTAATAGAGGTCGCAAAAATATGACCACTTGATTTTTGAAAATTCAAGTTCTCTATTTTTTAAGTTGTATTTTGAGTAGTTATGATTTTTTTCAAAAGAGATTTTCTTTTATAAATAAGTAATAGGGATTGCAACCCTATGCCGAATTCGGACATCCAAAAAACAAAAGGGTTAATTTCACAACATATTATGTCATGTGTATGCAATTTTCTGTATCTTACATTTATGTAATTTTTACGCTTAAATTATGTTATAATATATGTAATTTCTTTGAAATTATAACTTGTTATTACATTGTGAAGTATTTTTAAGTGTAACTTAAAATGTTGCACCAACATCTCACCAATGTTGTCGTATGATCACCATCAACAGTCACCCGCCAACGCTACAAAATTACATATACTACTGTTACATTGTGTAATTTATTGAAACTTGCTGTAACACAAAAAGTGTTATGCCACCACCATTGTTGCTCCTCCTAGTGTTACACTTATAACACAGCACTACCACCACCCACCATCGACTTGATTTCATTTAACCCAAGTTTCATATACAAATTTCAGCTAATGCTGGCCAACAACCAACACAAACAACATCACCACCCATCTCACTACCATCAAAAAGCACCATTGCCATCTCACAATCACAGGACATTACCCATCTCACCACCAACACAAATCACAACAAAATCAAATCTCTCAAAACAGAAAAAAATTAGATAAAAAATGAAGAGAAAAGTAGAAATTCAAGTTTGCCTCAATAATGGGAGTCATGGTCGTGATGGCGCTGGAGACAAGGCAGAAGTAGGTGGTGATGATCAAGGATTGTGATTATGGTAGCAGAAATGGTGCTGATTGGGTGATCAAGATCCAAATATGCACATTGATCAAGGGTTGTGCAGTGGTGGTTTAGGATTGGTGGTGGTCATGGTGGTCGATGGACACGATTCGAAGGGGCATCAGATCAGATTTGAAGGAGAGAGAAGAAAGGGATATGGTTATATTTGAACGAGAGAGAGTGGAGAAGTTAGTAACCTTTGAATAAAAACGGGGTGGCGGAGGAAGAAAGAGGTGACTGTGGTAAAAGATAGGTGTAGGTGACGACAAACTCAGATCGCGTTGTCACGATGACTTACATGGTGACTTCGTGTATATTTTTCACAAATTTGATGGCAAGATAGTGGCAAGTGTAGTAATGCACGTGTTTAAAAATGGTGGGGGTGGTCATGGTAGAAGAGGATAGAGAGAGAAAGTGAGGGGTTTGATTTAGAATAATGTTGTCATGCACAATTTTAGGTGGCCACATTTTATATGTTCAATTAAATGAATTATATGAC